GGGGGGGGGGGGATGAAAAGGATCGAAGTACTAACACTGGACCAGTCGGTAGATGGACAGACAGGGAGCGACCGGACCAGATCAGCAACGACAACGACGACAGCACAATGCGCCGGAACGATCTGATAGCTACGCACACATCAATTGATATCAGCAATGGCACTGTCCGTCTACCCGGTTATCAGTCTACCTACTGGATATACGGCGTATATTACCTGCAGTCTACAGGGCGCAGCTATCCTCTCCCCACCCGGCTCACTACCTTTTCTCGCAATCTGGAGAGACCCATCTGTATCAGGTTTGAACCGCGACATGGCCTATGCAAGAGAAAGAAAAAGAAGGTGATATTAGCGCACTGTAGGAGGGGAGTATATTCTGGAGCGGAAGCGCGATAGCATCTGATCCGTCTCGTCCCGGGATCCGCTGTGCCTGTTTAGCAGGACTAGCAGGAATCTGTATTACTCCGTAGTTAATTACGAACTGTACTCCTTCTACAAGTTAACACTGCTGCTAGTCAAGCACGTTTGCTGTGTGCTTTGCTGCCCCTCGGTGGACCGTCGCATCAATAAAAGAAGCGGCGACTAAAGGGGAAAAGAAAACGTGGGGCCGTCTTTTTCCCTTTACCGTAGTTCCCTTTGGACACTTTCGACCGACGTTCCCTCCTTCATCCACACACACACACAATAGGAAACATACGCCGCACACGACCGCTTCTTCTTCTGCTCCTCCTCCTTCTTCTTCATCTCTTTTAGATTTTCTTGAGCCGTGCTGGCCACGTACACACCGATCTCCGGATCCGTCACGTCGTTAACCAGAACAACAAGGCAGCATCCCAACTGGTAGAAGGAGGGACAGCGGACAACAAAGGAAGAGAACTGAATCCACTTTCTGGCGTTTAATATCGTTTCGAATCAAACCCACTTTCCCTCGAGGATCCCCCCCCCCTCCCCTTCCCTTTCCTCCGTGTCCATGGACTCGACATTTATATCGATACTCTGACAATCCCGATCCCCGCCCCGGCAAAGAAAACCCGAGGGCTTTCTCCCTCTGAAGTTGCCTCTTTGTGCGGCCTCGGGGATGCACACCATCTTGGCGTTTCCGGAAAACACAAAAGGAAACAGCATTGTGTCGTGATCCATCCGGCTTCACCACCACCACCACCACCGTCATGCCTCTTATCAACGGCCTCAAGATGGCTTGGTACGTTGGACATCTTCTTCTTCTTCTATCCTCTTTTCCTTCTTTCAAAAGAAGGAATAAAGAGAAGAGGGGGAAACATCCTGATACGCACACCGACGAAGAAATGACTGACCTCGCTGCTTTACCCCTTCCAGCGAGCCTTGCATCCGCGGCCACCGTTCCACAAAGTGCACCCACGCGAATGAGCGACTCATGGTCCCCGTCCGCAAGCCTGGCCGTCCCCTGAGCTCGTGCCCTCATCCCTCCTCGAGGCCTTGCACATGCGGCACCGTGACGGCTGCCATTCCGCGGAGGCAAAAGTGCGGTTGTGGAACGAGAGCAGCGACGACTTCTTCGCCTTCGTCGTCGGCTGCTCCTACCCCTGCTCCCGCCCCCGCCTCCGCCTCTGCCTCTGCCTCTGCCCCCGCCACCACCACCTCCCCCTCGGCCACCGAGGAGTCGCTGTCTGTGGTGACATCCCCCGTCGACTCAAAGGGGACCGCGGCTGCCTCTCGTGTACGGAAAACGCAGGCGCGCCGGGGGTCATCGCGCAAGCCGTCAGTCGATCCGATGGCTCTCGAGAGGATGGACCTGAACCAGCTCAACATCATGCCTGCGTTTGACGGCGCCAGGAACCAGGACGACGCTTCTGCCTCCTCCATGCACGCCACCAACGGTGCGGCGGATGCCCAGTACGCCGGCTTCCCGGCAGCCGGCAACCCTCTGGACGGGTACCCGGTCATGTACCCGACCTTCTCGCCGCCCATGCTGGCCCCCCCCATGGTGCACCCCAACGGCCACACGCCCTCGGCATCGAATGGATCGGCCCCGTCGGCGACAGCAGGCAGCTGCTGCGGGGGAGGACGGGCCCCGGCGGAGCAGCGGGACGACATGTCGACCGCTGATTCGACAGGTCTGGATGGATCCCGCGCCGCCGAACCGAAGAAGACCGGAAGCTGCTGCTCATCGAAGCCTCCCGCCGAGGCACCAGCTCCCCACCAGCAGCAGCATCAACAACAACAACAACAACAACAACAACAACAACGACAGCAGCAGCGACAGCAGCCCGTCATGGTCATGTCCCCCTTTCAGACACCCATACCCATGGCGCACGGGCTATACCCCCTCATGACCCCACCCACATTATTCACCTACCCGCCGCAATACGGCACCTTCATGCAGCCCCTGCAGCCGGAACAATGGAGGCAGGTCATGGCCCTCCTGAGTCTGGGACAGCCGGGACCGCAGACCGCCGATGGCTTTGGGGGCATGGCCGGGGCGGCTGCCCCGACTCCGGGACCGCCTGTCGCGTCCGACGGCGGACATGCACCGGCCGGCCCTGCCATGTATCCTGCGCTCACGCAGCCGGACGGCAACTGGGCCGAGGGAGGTGGCATCGCGACGTCGCATCACTGCTCCTGCGGCGACTCGTGCGAATGCGTCGGGTGTGCTGCGCATCCGTACAATGAGGCCACGCAGAACTATGTCCGCTCAGCGTGGAACAGCATGACGGAGGCGACTCAGCAGCCCCAGCAGCCCCAGCAGCCCCGGCAACACCCCAGCGTAGATGCCGGATATACCAACGGCGGCGGCGGCAATGGGAACAGCCGTGAAGATTCGCCGATAAACGGACAGATGCCGCCCCCGATGCCGGCAGCAGCGGTGGCACACCCCGAGTCCAGCGGTGCACCGGCACAGCAGACGCCCCAGACACCATCGGATGGTGGGGCGTCCGCCACGGGCGAGGAGCAGGTCTTCTCGTCCGACGACTTCTTCTTTGTCAGCTACCCATTTGATGATACTTGCGCTGGCGACACGGCGAGCTGTCCCTGCGGAGACGACTGTCAGTGTATCGGATGTGTCATTCATGGGAAATAGAGATCCGAAGCGTAGACTTCAGATGAGCAGACTCTCCGTCTTCATCTCCTCCCTCTTTTTCTTTCTTTCTTTTTTTTTTCTTTCTTTTTTTCCTCCCCCCCTCACCATTCTTCTTCTCTTCTTATATTCAAGGCGCAGCATTGTACGGGAGGTAGCAATCAGGAAAGGATGGCCGCTGCAATTAGGATACCAAGGCTTCATGATTATACGGCTGGAAAGACCGAGAAGGTCAAGTAGGAACAATACCCCCCCCCCCCTCACACGAGTCTTTTCAAGATAAAACAAGATGGGATAGAAAACAGGCGCTATCTATTTAACGTAAAACGTCTCTTGAAGATACCATCTCCATCATCACAGTATACTCATCACTCTACATCCCTGTCTCCCTACTCGCGTACTGGTCTTCTGTCTTGAAATCCTTCGTACGGATTCGCTCTGTCTGCGGGGACAGAACCTAGGCCAGCTATTGGTCGAAGCCCACACAGTACACGCCATCATTGCCACTGTCGAGTTTTGTGGGCGGCAAGCATTGAACAACAAAGGAGTTTTCCTCCTCCAACCGTTCGTTGCCTTTCCTCTTCTACATGCCGCCATTGTCTCCTGTACGGCACTGGAATCAGTCTCCCGGATCACCGGCGCGATTCAGCCGAGAGGCACGCAACCAGGATGGAGGACACATCTAGACCCGGATCCAGGGACCACGAGCGCGACCGTGACCGTGAGCGTCGGCGCCGTCACAGCCCACCATCAGGTGACGATAGACGACGCGCTCGCTCGCGAAGTCCGGCGCGTAAGCGCCAGAGGACGACGACACGTTCCCTCTCCCGTGACGGACGTGATGACGCCGACGAAGAGCACCACCACCACGGTCGCGGACACCACTCGTCGTCGTCTCGCCGGCACAAGCACCATCGCCACCACCACCACCGTGAGCATCGCGACCACAGCAGCGCCGGCGCCAACGCTGCTGTCTCGCTCCCGTTTGACGCCAGGCATCTGAACAAGTCGGACCTGGAAACATTTCGTCCGCTGTTCGCCTACTTCCTGAGCCTGCAGAAGCAGATCGAGCTCAGGGATCTGGACGAGAGGGAGGAGAGGGGCAGGTGGAAGAGTTTTGTGGGGAAGTGGAATCGGGGTGAGCTGGCGGAGGGGTGGTACGATCCCGAGATGTTTGCCAGGGTGACGGAAGAGGAGGAGGGGGAGGAGGAGATGGGGGGGGGAGGAGGCCCGGGCGAGCAGCCGGAGGGGTCGAGGAGTCCATCCATGTCTGTTGAGGAGGAGGATGTGCACCGTCATCGCGACGGGGGTGACCGCGAGGAGGCAGATGAGGAGGACGACTCAGACTACGGCCCTCCACCGCCACCGGGGATAAGGACGACCGGAGGCAGGAGCAGCCGTCGGGGACCTAGGATCCCCTCTATGCAGGACATCGCCGTGCGTGACGAGATGCTGCAGGACGACAGGGAGGAGTCGACGCGTCTGCTCCGCGAGGCGCGCAGGGCCGACCGGGCCGTCCAGAAGGAGCGTCTAGATGACCTCGTTCCCAGGGCGGACCCGGGCTCCCGCGAGCGCAAGCTCGAGAAGCGTCGCGCCGTCAACGACAAGATGCGCGAGTTCCGAGACAAGAGCCCCGGCGCCGCCGCCGCCGTGGACGACAAGGACCTCATGGGTGGGGGGGACTCGGTGGACGACTACAAGATGGCAAAGGAGAGGGAGAAGAAGAAGAAGACGGAGAGGCAGATCCGGAGGGAGGAGATGGAGAGGGCTAGGCAGGAGGAGATTGAGGAGAGGAGGAGGGCTTGGAAGGAGAGGGAGGATGGTACGGTTAATATGCTGCGGGAGTTGGCTAAGCAGAGGTTTGGCTAGAGTGTTTGGGCGATTCATGCTTTGGAGTATATACATGTATATGAGTATAAATATACATAGATATATATAAGTATAAATGTACATATATATATATACGTATTGGTTGCTTCTGTTTTAGACAAAATATCTTGCTGGTCAGAAGACTTGTATTGATTTCTTGGACTTGACGATCGAGGCCAATAGTCTCGCACTGTGGGCGAGGGAGTAGAAAGGTCGTTGTGAAAATCTCAACTTTCGAGGTTAGGAGGTTCACTCTTACATGGCGAGTTCACCAACAAACCAAGCTAAAATATGTATAACACGACAAGACTTAGCGGGGTATAACGATAACAACAACAACTGAAAGAACAACGCTGCTACATAAATCGACGGGGCTTCACTCTTCTACGGCGTATGCCGTAACGCCAGTGTGTCTAGATTGAGAAGAAAACCCGTCTTTACCCTGGGGGCGGACCATCAACAAACGAGACCCTTGCCCTTTGCCTTACACTACTACGTCTGGAGGACTAAACAAAGAGAAGGAAAGAGAAGAAGAAAAAAACAGAGAAAGAAAAGGAGAACAGAAAGAAGGTAAAAGAGGGAACCAAAAGAACCAGAACCAGAACCGAAACCAAGACCAAAACCAAAAAAGATGGACGACGACTTCTACGGAGCAGGCGACCTGATAGACGTCCCAGACGACTATTACCCGCCCACGCCACCTCCCTACGAGGAGATCTTCACCATGCGCAGCGGGCGGGCCATCAACCTCCGCCTGGTGGGGGCCAGCCCGACGGAGGCTCACGTGCTCTGGAACGGCGCGAAGGTGGTGTCCGACTACTTCGAGGCCGACCCCGGGCGGGTGGCGGGCAAGACGCTCCTGGAGCTGGGGGCCGCGTCCGGCCTGCCCTCGCTGGTGGCCGCCATACTGGGCGCCGCCAGGGTGGTCATGACCGACTACCCGGACCCGGAGCTGGTGGAGAACATGCAGAGGAACATCGACGCGTGCGAGGGAGTGGGTGGGACGGGCGTCGTCCTGGCCAGGGGTTTCATCTGGGGTGGCGACCCTGCGCCGCTGAGGGAGTGTCTCGTGGAGGGGCAGGAGCAGGGGCAGGGGCAGGAGGATGCTAGGTTCGACGTCTTGGTCCTGGCAGACCTCTTGTTCCGTCACAGGGAGCACCCGGACCTGGTCAAGACCATACGGGAGACGCTGAGCAGGAAGGAGGGCAGCGCGGCCTACGTCTTCTTCACGTCGTATAGACCGTGGAAGAAGGAGCTCGACATGAAGTTCTTCGATGTCGCGAGGGAGGACGGCTTCGAGGTTGAGCACGTGCTCGAGAGGAAGCTGGACAAGCCGCTGTTCGAGAATGATCCGGGGGATCTGGATGTGCAGAAGACGGTGAATGGGTTTATCGTAAGGTGGCCTGCTTCTTAGGTTGAGGCTTCAACAAAAAAATAATTAAATGATTTCATATATATATATATATATATATCTGGATACTAGATATTACAGGTCAAAGATTGCTATTGTGCATGAATATTGGCAGAAGTGATGTCCCACCGCGTGATGCACTGATCTACACAAGGATGAAAATGCGACGTGAAGGATGACGGGAATGCCAAGTCAAGGTGCTGAGTGTTAAGTAGGTACAAAACCTGCCATGGAAGATTCTCGATGGTGTTCCCTCCAAATTGTCCGGTGATTGGAGATGGAAGGGGTTTTTTTTTTTGCTTGCGATATTATCACTGCAAGATTCCCCGCAAAAGATAAAAAGTGAAAGAGGGAGAGAGAGATAGAGAGAGAGAGAGGAGCCTCCCCTCCCCGCTCTCTCGACCTTCAAACCCCGCTGAAAGATTGAAACCGATCCTGCATGTTCCCGCACCGAACAACCATGACAGACTACCTGGCCCAACTAGAGCGCGACGGTTTCGTAGTGGTCCGCTCGATCCTCTCAGACGAGCAGCTATCCGCGCTGTTGGAGGCGAGCAGGAAGGCAGCCGAGCTGGCGCGGTCAGGCCACTGGCCTCACATCCGCACGGTGGGCAAGCAGTTCCCGCCGTGGGAGTCGACGCCGCCGGCCGCGGGGATCTGGGGGGTGCAGCACCTGATGAACCCTTCGCTCCCGGGTAACGAGGTCTTCGCGTCAGCCTACTTCTCCGAGGCGATCCTGAGCATCGTGCGTGACCTGCTGGGCGGGTGCGGCGACGACGAGCTCGTGATGGAGCTGTTCAACATGCTCGTGCGGCCCGGGGAGGACTTCGCCCTGGTCTGGCACCGCGACGACATACCGGCCGACGCCACGGCGGAGCAGGAGATGGAGAGGCTCGGCCGGCCGGCCTTCCACGCGCAGTTCAACCTAGCGCTGCTGGAGGACGACTCGCTCGTGGTCGTGCCCGGGTCGCACGCCCGGCCCCGCACCGAGGCCGAGAGGCGGGCCGACCCGCTCGAGCCGCGCATGCCGGGCCAGAAGGCCGTCAGGCTGGCGCCCGGCGACATCGTCTTCTACAACAACAACATACTGCACAGGGGCGTCTACAGCTCCGCCAGGGAGCGGCTCACGGTGCACGGGTCCGTGGGCCACACGGGCGGGAGCAAGCTCAGGGCCAGGAATGTGCTCCAGCACGGCGTGGGCTCGTGGGTCGACCGCTGCGACTTCTCCGGTCTGCGCGACGACGAGAGAGCTAGGGCGGAGGCCATGAGAGATCGGCTCGTTAGGTTGGGGACCGAAGCTGGTGATGTCGGATACTCGCTTCAGGGCTAGTCTTTTTTTTGTCTCTTTTTTATTTATTATTATTTTTTCATTTTTTTTTGAAGTCGGTTCATCTTGCAAGAAGCGCTGTATATTACCGGCCAATTGTTGACCTGATCGTGCGGACCAAGTTTGATCATGTAATATGATATACAGAGCATTATATTTTAATATTATCATGATGATAAATACTCGTACCCTGTCATGCCATACACCGACCCCCCCCATCTCCACAGCAGACCCCAAGCCGACAACCCGCGGGTAAAGAGTTCCCCTCCGCCTATACGTAATAGTACGACAATCGGAGGGGGGGTTTAGAACTTGAAAGAATATATGTGGGATGACGGTAACGGCACCTAAAACCTCATTACGCAAACCATGCTTGTCTCTCCCCCACATGCTGAGCATCTCCCTCTATTCCTTCTTGTGATGCTAAGACTCCGTCACGGCAGATGGAATACGGTTATGTCCGTGCTGAATAAGGGAAAAAAACAGAGACAAAGGCTGCAATGCCACGTCAAGATCTAGGCTCTCTCTCTGTCACTCTCGTACCTCGTGCACTCTGTGCGCGGGGGGCCGGGGAGTGGTGGAAGGGAGGGAGGGTGGTTGGTGTACGGGGTAATGGTAGTAGCAGTAGGAGAAGCAGTAAGTAGCAGCAGAGCAGCAGTAGCGGTAGCAGTTAGCAGTTGGCAGTTAGCAGTTAGCCGTCAGCAGTTAGCAGTAGCAGTAGCAGTCAGCAGTTAGCAGTCAGCAGCCAGCAGTCAGCAGTTAGCAGTATCAGTTAGCAGTAGCAGTTAGCAGTAGCAGTAGCAGTAGCAGTAGCAGTAGTCGTTAGTCGTAGTACATAGTATTACAGAATTCAGAGTTTCGAGCGGACCAACCACATGCCACGTAATATAATATGGTTATCTCTTGTGTGTAGAGAGAGGCCTGAGATGGATCGTGCGTGCGTGTGTGTGGGTGGGTTTGTTGCGGAGGAGGTTGGGGTCGTCTTGGAATGTGAGTTGAGGCAATGAATGGGGTGGAACGGTCCCGGGGCGCGCCAGATACAGCATCAGTAAGAGCCAAAGGAGGAGAGTATCACCATGTTTCGGGACAGAGCATGCGAATGATAATACGGGTTAATATTATGTATCATGTATTGTTCGTGGAGTCGTGGGTAGTAGATTGCGACCAGTGACGGGGTTGCTGCTCATATGTCTGTTACAGGGATGGTGAGGATGCCGGGGGCAGAGAGGTAGTAAGGCCTGGGAGGAGGAGGAGAGAGGAGAGAGGAGAGAGGAGAGGTATGGCTTGGAGTAGTTTGGGTGCGGAGTCGACATTGGAGGGAAGAGGAGGGGAGGTCATGTGAGACATGGGAATAAATCATGAATACAGAGAGTACGGAGTAGGAAACAGAAGGGTCAGAGGTTGAAGGTTTTCCTCAACAAGCCGTACACGAAGTTACCGTAGTCTGCTGTAGGCGAGTCCGTATCAATACTCCCATCACCGAAAATACGTACAGGAAGGGTGAGAGGAGGACTCGACTCGATCGACTCGACGTGTGCGCGTGAACCCCGCCCTCCTCCTCCTCGCTTCGCCCCCCCCCCGTGGGGGAAAAGGTCCCCCGGTTGGAGTGTCTTGTCCCCACACGTAACCAGCTTGGCAACAGAGAACAAGGGTGTGCGTGCACGGTCTAGCTGCAGTGCTACACCACAACCGTGAGTCCCGTGCAGCAGTATTACGTCTATTCTCCAGAGGAGCGTATTCAGATGCAGGCGGGGTTTTTATCAATATTATTTTTAACATGATTTTTGATATACCATTTTCTTCTCAATCGCTCTTCAGCATTCATCCAATACACGTATCCTCTCCTCTCCGATCCGTACATCTCTCCTGATTCCAGCAAACACCAACCCACACGGCTTGGCTTGTCCAGAGAGTGCCGAACCCCGTGGGGAATCAACCATCATGCAATAATACGTACATGTACGGAATATCAGCAGTATCAGTTAAGTGATGATACCTGGCTACAGTAATCTGTACATGGATATCTGTTGATATATGTACTCTGTAATCCTAGTAACATCCCGTAGTACTTGTTACTCGTTACTAGTATATGGAGTACGGATGCAAGTACTGATACCCTTACTACTCCGTACATGTACTATTACTTACTATATCATTCTATAGGACTGTACCATCATTACTGCGAGTTACCGAGAACCGTACCCAGACATCTGACTTTCCCAAGCTTGTTTTCCCCGCTTGCCAACTTGCCCGGCAGCGCCCCCCCCCCCCTCTCCCCAGATTTTCGTTCTTTCCCCTTCCTTCTCTTTTTTCCCCGTATTATCCGGTGCATCTTTTTTTCAATTTTTTCAATTTTTTCAAATAATTTTTTTTTTTTTTTTTTTTTTTGGAAAGAAACTCTTTTTCGGAACCTGTTGCATGTGTTGTGCGCGTCGTGTGCACCTTCTGCGTTGCCGACTCTGTATGACTGGATTACGCGCCGCCTTTCTCCGCCATCTCATATGTTGATTCTGCCTTGCACATCTCACCCATTCGACATCTCATCCTTAGTCTTATTTTTCCTTCATTCTACCCCGCGAGAGAGAGGGAGGGAGGGCGAATACAGCCCTATCTCAACTCAACTAGTAGTCTCTCCTTTCCCCAACTGCCATCTCCTCCCCCCTCCGCCCCCCCCGACCGCGGTGCCTTATTCTCTCGTCATAGGCCGCCTGCTACCTGCTGGCAGGCCACCTTTGTTTGTCTGATAATCCAGACTGCTTCGCTACCACACACACGAGTCATTCGTCTTGACCTTTCCTCTCTCTCTCTCTCTCCGTCTCTGTCTCTCCCCTCTTACCACACTCGCCCATCCGTTCATCCACCCATCTCCCTTCCTCTTCTCTCTCCACACGCACTGATGAACTCTGACTTCTCCGCATCGCACATGGCTGTAAGTGACTGAACCTACCCNCCCCCCCCCCCCCCCCTCCCCTCTCTCCCCTTCCCATTTCCTATCTCTCTATTTCTGCCTCTCCTCATCTGTGCGGATACTGACAGAACAGAAACAACAGATCTTCTGAGTGATAGTCCTCGTCTACAGCAGGATAAGAAACGAAGGAAAGAAGAAGCAGACCTGACCCCCCCCTCCCCCTTTCTTGCCAGACGTCGCTATGCTCCCTATACAGTCCCTTGACACCTCCGTCGCTCACCCTCGCACGAGGAGACCTGGTGGCCCCCTCATAAGCTCGGACCCGGCAGAGAATCGTCAGCCGAAACCAAAGACGCTACCTTGCAAGTATTGTAGCAAACACTTCAGGTAAATACTGACAAGATGACACCTTCCATCGTCTGCGGATGTATCGCAAGCTCCCATCTGACCTTGACAAGGCGAGTCGAGCATGTCCAGAGACACGAGAGGACACACACAAAGGAAAAGCCCTTTCAATGCCCGTGGGATCGTTGTGGCAAGACCTTTGGCCGGCGGTGAGTCTTACCCGATCGAATTCCTTCACCCCTCCCCAGATGCGGTGTCGCTCTATATCCTCATTTGGTAGGACCATATGCACCACACTATCATCGAAGTCTTCCTCTCCCTCCACTCGCGCTGCTACCCCGGACATGTTCTCCTCCTCCTCCTCCCTCCTGCTCCCTACTCCCTGCTCCCTGCTCCTCCCCTCCCCTCCCCGCCCCCATCACGTTGCCGTAGCGCACGGAGGGACATGCATATGCACACCCGATATCGCATCATACAATTTACTCCCAACTCCTCTACTCATTTCCCTTCCGAAAACTCTACATCCCGTGCCCCGTACATGCATGCATACATACATGCAACTACCTACACACGTATCGTCAACTTCGCTCACTTACATGGATATCAGAGACCTCCTCGTCCGCCATGAAAAGCTCGTGCATCTCAACGAAAACAGCAGAGACAACGTTCGTCCGAGGAAAATCCCCTCGGGCTCCGCGGGGCATCCCACGGGTCACCACACCTCCCTATCAGACAGCCATATGGAACTCGATTCCACCAACAGCATACATCACCAGCCCCTAACCCAGCTGCAGCAGCCCCCACCGCCTGCACCGCCACCGCTGCATCCCGCTCACCAGCATCCCCATCAGCATCAGCACCACCAGAGCCTCCCGACTCACTTCCATCCGACGTCGCCCCTGGCCAACCCTCTGCCACATGATCAGCAGCAGCAGCAGCAGCCGCGACCTCCCTCCTCGTCCAGGCCGGGCGCCGGAAACCTCGACCTCCTCTCCGACGCGGCGCTGGCTAGGGAGGTCAACGGCACCATCCATCCCATGGCCGCCGGCGATGCCTCGCAGCAACCGCCGTCGACGAGGCCCAAGCCCTACTCTCACCACGAGGAGCAGGCCGATGGAGCTGTCCGTGAGGGCTACGCCGCTCCCGGCGTCGTGCAGGATGGCTTCCAGGAAGACTACAATCTCTTGCTGGACGACTTTGGACCTGCGCCTCACTTCCTACCACCGCATTTCGACCCAGACCAGCAGTCGGCCACGGGCTGGGCCAGGCCAGATACGGCAGCGGCAGCGGCAGCAAGCCGTCGCCCATCCTACGGCAACGCCTTCCCCTCGCTGGGCCAAGATGCCGACGACGCCGGCGCGCGCGCCGGCAAGTCACTCCGTATATCGATAACGGACCACAACACCATCAAGAACCGGCTGGACGAGTTCTCCCCCGTCCTCCCGCGCGACTTCGTCTTTCCCTCACGACACACCCTCACCCGCTTCCTGGAGGGGTACACCAGCGGCTTCCACGAGCACGTCCCCTTCCTGCACCTGCCCACCTTCTCGCCCGTCGACGCAGCGCCGGAGCTCCTCCTCGCCATGCTAGCGGTAGGTGCGCAGTACCGGTTCGAGAGCAACAGGGGCTATGCCCTCTGGTACGCGGCCAAGGCTGTCGCCACGGAGCAGATACGCAGGAGGCACAGCAGCGACCTCAAAGCGCTGCTGCCCACGCCGGCGGCGTACAGCCCGCACTCGACGAGGCCGTCGCCCAGTGCCACCTACAGGCACTCGTTCGCTTCGGCGCAGTCGGAGCGTCCCGCCGTCCAGGATACGCACCGAGAGCCATAGTGAGTCCTTACCCCTCTGGAAAGAAGAGGCGAAGAGAGGGAGAGGAGGTGGGAGGAAGGCCCGCGCTGACATCTCAGCTCCCCCAACACCCCCCAAGCAAGACTCGAGACCATCCAAGCCGTGCTCCTCCTCTTCGCCATCGGCCTCTGGGGCGCCGAGGCCATCGTCCACGAAGCCATGGCCCTCCAGGGCAACCTAGCCGTGCTGATCCGCCAGGAGGGACTGACGGTGGAGACGGCGCAGGCCTCGGTGACGGACTGGGAAGCCTGGGTGCGGCTGGAGAGCGCGACGCGCACCAAGCTGGCGGCCTACTGCTTCTTCAACCTGTGCAGCACGGCGTACAACCTGCCGCCGCTGCTGCTGACGTCGGAGATGGGCCTCTACCTGCCCGTGCGCTCTCGTCTGTGGCGCGCCGAGACGGCTTGGCAGTGGCAGGAGCAGAGGGCGGCGACGCCGGTGGCCAGCATGACCGTGCACGACGCCTTTGCGCGGCTCTTCGGAGGATCAGGCCAGGGCCTGCCGGCGCAGCTGTCCTCGCTGGCGAACTACGTCCTCATACACGCCGTGCTGCAGCACATCTACCTCCTCAAGCAGACGTCCCTCGCCGCCGGATCGCCGTACGTCGTGCATCGCATGCTGAGGCCGGAGGACGTGGAGGACGTGTCGGAAGCGCTGAGGGTGTGGCAGGCGAGCTTCGAGCACATGCACGAGATGCGGGCAGGAGGCGCCGGAGGCGCGGGAGCGGCCGGAGGGGAGCCTGCCGAGGGGAGCAACCCGCTGGCTTACAACGCCTCGGCGCTCCTGCGGCTGGCGTACATACGCCTGTACACGGATGTCCCGCCGGCCAGGGCCCTCGAGACGCACGACTCGATGCTCATCGCCTCGGCGCTGAGCGCCACGCCGATCCTCACGCGCAGCCTGAGGCTCCACCGGGCCGTTTTCCAGGCTGTACATGCGCTGTCCATGCTCGTCAAGGCTGGCGTGTCGTATGTTGCTCGGACAAAGTCGAAGGAGTGGAGTATACAGCATTCTCGTAAGTCATGCACAGACGCACACAGACACACGACACGCACGCACACACACACACACCCACATATATATACATATATATACATATATATATATATATATATGTATGTATGTATATCAAAGAAAGTAGAAGAAGAGTTTTTTAAAACAAGAAGAAGAAGGAGGAAGAAGAAGAACTGACAAAACGAACTACAGTATGCAACTTCGAATGCGCCGTCCTCCTGGCGAAATGGCTCCTGACACTATCCGCCATCGGACCCTCCGATCCCCCGGTACTGCCAGAGGAGAAGAGCCTGCTAGGAACCGTACGCCGCATGCTAGACGAGACCGAATTCGCCGTACACGTCGACCCGTCTCTCTCCGGCATGATGGACGGGGCAGGGGGAGGTCCGAGCTCCAGGTCAGGATCCGGCAGCTCGGCGAGCGGTACGGGACACCCGATGGACATGGCCGCCACCGCCGGGTCTACGATATCCACAGGTAGCACGGCGACGGCCACGACGACGGCGTCGACCATGGCGAGCGATAGCGCCAAGCTCAGACAGCTGGCCGCGGCTGTGGTGCGGCTCTGGGCTGAGACGTTCAACGGGTCGCACATGTTTGACGTGGTCAAGGTTATGGGTACGAGTCTGGACGGGTATGCGGATCTGATTGAACGGTCAAGTGAGAGGACGCCGCCAGGGAGAATGATGTCGGATGGTGGCATGTAGATCTTGGTCTACTTTTTATTATTATTCCTCTGTCGTCATACATGCTGTACTTCTCACGTCTTCGCTCTCGTCCTATTATCTACTGCTTGACGTGCATGCTAGGTAGCAAGGCGTTAAAAATACATGCTTGGCTCTATCTTAACTTGGCCATCATGCAATATTACAATTCCACATGCACCCCAATATTACATGTGATGGGCCATGACTACTGATACCAAAACCGTGGGGAAGCAAAATGTGGGGTCGAGCAGATGCCAAATGATATTACCCACAAAAAAAGAAAAGTGGGATGGATCTCTGTGCCGAGGCTCGGTAAGGAGATCCTAACTAACCTCCCGTCATCACCACACCACACCCTCTTTCTCTTTTCTCTCCTTCTACAGATGCACGATAGGACCTCGAGGATTTTGAAAAGACCAGGAAATAAAATAGAAGAAAAGAACAGAAGAGAAGAGCGGAAAGATTGAGAAAAAAGAACTTGTCCGCCTCCCCCTCTCTCCCTCCCTCTCCTCCGCTCCCCTCTCTTGATTATCCGACTGCTTTCGAGAATTCAGAGCTTGCTGTTACGCTCTTCCATATACCGCTGAATCTGAAGGAACGAAGCACAATGCCGCTTTCTACCGAGCTCACGCGCCGACTAGGCATTCGGAGTAAGTTGTCCACCAATCTAACCCAACCCCTCCTCCCCCTCCCCCTACCAAAAAAAAAGGAAGAGAAAGAAGGGCAGACTGTCAGGTACGAGGAAGGAAAACGAGAACCGGAGGAATGAACCAACCCCCCCTCCTAACCATACAAACAGTCCCCGTCGTCCAAGGCGGCATGATGCACGTCGGTACGGCCGACCTGGCGTCGTCCGTGTCCAACGCCGGCGGTCTAGGCCTGATAACGGCGCTCATATTCCCGACACCGGCGGCGCTGCGCGACGAGATCCGGCGATGCCGAACGCTGACCGAGAAACCGTTCGGCGTGAACCTGACGCTCCTCCCGGCCATGGTGCCTCCGGACTACGGCGCGTACGCGCAGACGGTCATTGACGAGGGCGTCCGGATCGTCGAGACGGCCGGCAACTCCCCCGGCCCCGTCATCAGGCAGCTCAAGGCGGCGGGGGTGACGGTCCTGCACAAGTGCACGACGATCCGGCACGCCCAGAGCGCCGTAGCCCTGGGCGTCGACTTCCTCAGCATAGACGGCTTCGAGTGCGCCGGCCACGTGGGCGAGAGCGACCTGCCCAACTTCATCCTGCTCAGCCGCGCGCGCCAGGTCCTGGGCGGCGAGGGGGTGCCCTTCATCGCCAGCGGCGGCTTCGCCGACGGCTGGGGCCTCGCCGCCGCCCTCTGCCTCGGCGCCTGCGGCGTCAACATGGGCACCCGCTTCATGTGCACCGTCGAGGCGCCCGTCCACGTCGACGTGAAGAGGCAGATCGTCGCCTCCTCCGAGTCCGACACCACCCTGCTCCTGCGCAGGTGGCGCAACACCACCCGCCTCTTCAAAAACAAGGTCGCCGAGGAGGCCGCCAGGATCGAGAGCGAGAGCACCACCGGCAAGTTCGAAGAGGTGGCTGCCCTCGTTAGCGGCAAGAGGGGTAGGGAGGTCTTTGTCACCGGTGATGTCGAGCACGGGGTACGTTTCTTCCTTCTCCTCCTCCTCCTCCTCCTCCTCCTCTTCTTCTTCTTCTTGTTCCTCCTCATTTCTCTCCTTCCTGCCTCCTTATTCTTCTACTTCCTTACCGTGTACTCTACACCCTTCGTATGGAAAGCGCAAATGGCTAACATCTACCCCCCGACAAACACAACAGGTCTGGACAACTGGCCCTGTCATGGGTTTAATCCACGACATACCCACATGCGAGGTTCTCGTCAAACGGATCGAGAAGGAAGCAGAGGCCGCCCTCAAGGACAGCAATACCCTCATCGTTCCAGAGTCCAAGCTGTAGGGAAGAGACAAGATACTTCATGCAACGGGGGTGGAGCGCGCGTGTATCTATACATTATTCTTGCCCTTTATCTATATGCGAGATGAACTACCTTTGTTCTTATGACACCATCTTATGTCTCTGCCCCCCCTCCCCCCCCCCTCTCTCTCTTTACTCGGGAATGGTGTAAGCCGAGTCGAGACGGCTATTGTTAGGGCGTAGTAGTGATGATGGCCCACAATCCTGCCGCGGCCTCTGTCGCTGCTGATGCAGGAGCGGGGGAACACCCTGGTTCTCCTGCACCCACTCATCTCGTCGGCAGAGACTGACGCCCGTCTCGACGAGGGTAATCTTGCCCCGCGGTGCACCGGCGCGCCACCCCGGCGGTGCACTCTGCGTCATGTCGTCGCGCGACACGTCCTCGGCCAGCCGGAGGCGCATGTCCACAACTGCACCCCTCACGCCGCAGTACAGCGTGTCGGACAGATCTGACGCCTTAGTCAGGGCATACACGCGGTCGTACCCGACGTCGCCGAGGTAGAGCGTCGCATCGGGTCTCCACACGTCTTGTCGGCACCGGTCGTGCCAGGTGCAGCAGTAGCAGCCGGAGGGAGGGGAAGTGGAAGTGGGAGGGGAAGTGGAAGTGGGAGGGGAAGGGGAAGTGGAAGTGGAAGGGGAAGGGAAAGGAGAGGGGCCATCGATGCCACGGCCAAAGGGCACTTTAGGCTGCGGCATATCGGGTGAGCAGGGGAGTGCGTCGGTGTGGTAGTATGGCTTCGGGTAGCGGAAGTCGTAGAGGCCCACGTTGGGAGCCAGATTGCTGCCCGCTACGAAGCGCTCCGTGCCGTATACCAACAGGGAGCTGCCGCCTTCGTAAGGGTTCCACCGGTCACGGTATACCGCGTCGTAGGGCGACGGTGTCCGCACGTCGAGCAGTCTAAGCCCGCCAGTCAGCTTAGCTCAACCGACAGGTGTTTTCTGTTGTGTGTGTGTGTGTGTGTGGTGGTGGTGGTGGTCTTACCGATATGTTCCATCATCCCAGGCAGTGAGGACTATGCTCTCGCTCCTCCCATTGCCGACCTTTTCGACAGCACGCACCGTGGTCCTCTCATCGGCAGATATCTCGGCCTGAGACACCAGGTACTCGAGGGGTGCATGGTTGACAGCAGCGTCAAAGAAGACGAGACCTGTAGGGGTGATCTTGGCCCACCGTACGGGACGTCGGCTCCCGCCCAAGGCACAGACGACGGTGTCATTGCTGAGGAATTTGATCCCCCGGACGAGTGATAGCTCGTCACCTAGGCTATCGTCGAACAGGTCGTACTGCGCGGTGGGCCGTAGAACCCCATCCCCATCGTCGTCGTGGTCGCCGCAGCCACCCCTCCCGCCTAGGTTGTGCAGAGTGAGGGTCGAGTGTCTGCCGCTGGCGAGCATGCTTGTCTCGGAATTCCACTCAGTCCACGAAACGGCCATCTGGCCGGGCGAACTGCGTGGAGTCAACAGCCCGCTGCTGCCGGGACCATGCTCCTCCTTCCCTTCATCGCCCGCGAGGGTCTGCGTAACGCAGCCAAAGTTGTCACCCATGGCCCGGATGACATCTATATGCCCGTTTGCTCTGCCCACGACGATCTCGGGCGCTGACGGTCCGTCACGGTCAATGACAGACACGGCCGTCACATCGCCGAAACCGCCCACGTAGCCGGCCTGTTTGCCCTCGAGGCGCTGCCACTGATCATCTTCAGTGCGACCGTCAGGGCTGCGTTTGACAATGATATCCTCCCCCGCCCCCCAAACAGCTAGCTCGCCCCCCTCCTGAAGCGTGCACGCGTCGAGGCTGGGGTAGAATGACACAGACTGCCCGCCGTGACGTGACATCTGCTGGGCCGCCCCACCCCGCCTGCCCACGCGCTTCTTGGCCAGCTCCTGGAAATCGTGCACGATGAAGGCCCGTCTGTCCCAGCAGCGATCGAGGTACGTCAGGCGGTCTGCTAGAGCCATCCAGTCGTTGCCACTGCCGTTGCAATTGGCAAACGCCGACGGGAAGGCCCTCTTGACGAAGCTCCTCCAGCCATCGTGCCGGACCAGGTTGTTGGTGCTCCGTGAAGCCGTCGACAGCGCAGATAGGTCTCGGGCTTGCCCGAGGTGGTCAATCACGTCGAGGAGCAGGTCGTCGGGGAGACTGTCGAGCGAGGTTCTGGTCATCATCCAATCTTGCATGGGCGGTCAGAGGGAATCCTGAGTATCTGAAAAACCACCACCACTTCTTGGACCGAGGAGCGGTTGTACTGGGGGTTCCGAGGGTGATGGTGTGGTCCTGTTCCTCCCCATACCAGCTCCCTACAGGACATGAAAATCTAGTTATATATGTTATAGACCGAGATAGTGAAGAAAATGACAGCGTTCAACGTCAAGGATTTCTCGTCTGCTGGAAAAGTCAGGTCCAGGTTATGCGTCATAGTAGTGGGTCAGCGGCGTATGCATGTCTAAACCTCCATTCACTTTTTTTTGTAACTGTCTCTAAGAGGGAAGAGTCTAATGCATATTTGGATGCCTTTATAATTCATCATGGATGACTTCTACACCTCCTTTCCAACCCCTCATAATCCTCCTTCTTTTGATAGCTAAGAAGATACTACTTGCTACCAGACATCAGAAACAATCAACGTACTCTATGTATGTATTCTAGATAATTTGTCTCGACGCTTACTCCCCATCAAATGCCCATAAGCAAACCACAGACTCGTTCATTACATGAGTCACATACTCACTACATGAGCATATGCAGAGCTCGCACAGCCTTCTCCGCGGCAGCCACATGCCAAGGCCTGACATCCGACTCCTTGTCCACGACGCCCCTCGCCCTTGCCAGCGTTCCTAGACCTCTAAAATTGCTGAGCATCTCCCTGAGGAGGGGCTCGTATGCGCGGGCCGTGAGCTCCGTGTGCACGAGGTTCACCTCCATGCTGACAGGGGGGTCTTCGACACTCGCGCCAGTCCTCTTGATGAGGTACCCTGATACCAGGGCGGGCTGCAGCTCCAGTGGAGTGGATGAGTTGCTGAGTCGGTGGCCCACGACGGCACCCCAAGTCTGCTCCGTGAGGTCCATGAGGATGGCGTCGGCGTCTGAGGCCGCTGCTGCCGCGTCCGCAGTGGGGTCGGCCCCTGCTGATGCTGGGCCGCCAGGTGTCATTGTTGCAGCGGTAGGCGTGGCTGGTGTATTGCCGCTCTGCTGCTGCTCTGGTGAGAGGATGCTCGCTGCCTGCGGCGTCGAGACGGGTGATGCTGTCGGAAATGTGATATTGTTGACCGTAGAAGGCTTGACCTGCACGGCGGGTGGCAGTAGCTGTAGGGAGGGAGACGTATCCACCGTCATGAGTACCATGGAAATGTTGGCCTTGCTCTCGGTGCGGGCGAGGTCCGCCCAGAACTCAATCTCGTTGGGCTCCATGATACCAGACTTGGTGATGACGATACGCCAGTGCACCTTGCAGTGTGAGATGATTTCTAGTGTGCTTTCCCATATCTCGTGCGCCACCTCATGCATGTGCGTCGTCAGCTGCCGTCCCTTTCTGCCGCGGCAGTAAGACGCTGTTGCTTGCTGGCACCCGCGGTCATCGGTCCACGCCGCCGACACCCATCTGTCGTCCACGCTTTGCGCGTACGCCACGTGGATGGACGAGTTCTCCTGCATGAGGGACGGCGAAGGCGTGCCTGTGAGCTTGAAGTCGATAATGCGCGGCAGCGCCTGCTCCAGAATAATGGCCGGTGCCGGTATCGAGCCCGAGAAGGACGTGCATCGATCGTACGTCTCGAGGCAGAGCTTCACCAACTCTGACGAGGGAGTCACCACCAGCCCTGCCGGTGACGATATCAAATCGGCCGAGACAAGTTGAAGTATCAGCTCCCCCTGCATCTGCACCTTCTTGACCCTCGGCTTCCATTGCGACTCGACAAAGCGCTGGAATGCAAGACACGCTTCGATTATGGTCTCGGGGCGGTTTGGGTTGTAGACCATGAACACTACAATGTTGGCCGTGGTAGTTGATGTGGAGGCTATGGCATTTTGGAGCACCTCCAGGCTTTCAACCAGAGTAGACCCGTGTCCAGTCACACTGGCGTCGGGCGAGGTCGACATTGCGTCGACTTCATACGGGGCCAGCCCGGGCTCCAGCTCGCTGGGCAGTGCCAATCTATCGAGATTGCCTAGATGTAGGAGCTCGTAGACGCTCTTCATCCTGTCCAGGAATGTTGCGGCACTGTCCCTCATACCATCCCAGCCGGGGAATATGCAGAGAGCTTGCACGTCCTTGATCCCCGAGGCTGGACCCAGTCCCAGATTCTCCCAGAATGATACCGCTGTTGGCAGCACCGAGAGCTTCGATTCTCCACGGCGCACCTCGAGATGGTGACTGGGTATCGGGTAGAGGTTGCTTGGCCTTAGCTGCTCTGCATTGGGGTCACGTCCTGGGATGGGACGGGGTTGCAGGCGGACAGACTGGCCCATAAGTGGTGCGTCTAGGACTTCGAGGAAGCCTTTAAGTCGCGTGGTCGCCAACTTTTCCAGCGATGGTGACATGGCCCTCCGCAAGATATCCAAGGAAGCTCGCGCATTTGCTGCTAGTGATTGACGCGTGTTCTTCGCCACTAAATGGCCCTCATCCTCTTGACCATCGCCGACTTTGAGTGACCCCGTAGCTGCTTGTTCCGTGACAATCTGGGCGGTAGAAACCATGTCCTCATCAGTACAAGGTATCTGCAGCGTTAGGGGCTCCGGATCCAGCAGGAGCTTGGACAGCTGGATCTCCGGCGACTCGGGCTTGCACAGGCGCGGTAACTCTATCGCGAGCTGGTGGTCAGGTTCTTCTACCACAGCATCTGCATCCCTGTACGAGGCGGTGGCCTGTGACGCGACATCTTCGTCCATGTTTGTTGCTGTTCGCTTGAAACTTAACTTCATGGGTGATGTCACGTCATCTGAAGTGTAGCTTGAGTCATCTTCGTCAGACTCGATGCTGCTCCTACCATCATCTGAGGGAGACCCCACGGCACGTACGGGGCTGGAGTGCGACATGGCAGTATCGAGAGCCGTAACTTTCCTCCCAAGGGTACCAGACAACGGTGGAGGATTCTCCCTGGTCTTCTTGTTATGCTTGCTATGGCGCCTCAGGTAGTTGGTCTCTGGGAGAGAGCCGCGCTGCTGTGCGACTCTCTGATCCGCCAGGGCATTTTGATCAAAGGCAAAGAACCCGCCCTTCTCATACTTTTGGTTAATCAGTGGCAAGGTAGGCCCGAACTGGATTTGCTCAAACACATTGGCCTTCCTCTCCGAAGCCTGGGCATGGTTTCTTTCAGGGATGCTCATAGAACCTTGAACTCTCTTGAAAACCGTCTCAGGATTGAAGGGGCTAGGTGCCCTCTTCACAGGGCCCTTGTCACTCTCCGCCGTTGATCCCTGATGGGTGTCATTCAAAAGGCTCCTGGCGTGCTTTAGCTCCGGTTTCATGAACCCTTCCGAATCTTGATTGGGTGCTGGTGCTGGTGCTGGTGCTGGTGCTGGTGCCGGTGCCGGTGCCGGTACCGGTGCCGGCTCTGGTGGAGGTGGAAGCAATGATGCTGGCTCACTGGCTTGTGGCTCTCTTTGAAGTTTTATATCACTCTGCTGCTTTCCGGAGCTGACGTTGGAGTCATCCACTTGGTCAAATCCAGTCATGGTAAGGTCCAAGTTGTCAGGTTCATCCTCGTCAAAGAAGTTGAAATCATCTTCCGTTATATCGTTCTCCCCAAACATATCGCCTTCCAAGAGCATGCCTTCGGGACCCTCGAGTAGATTATTACTGTCTCTGTGCCGCTCCTTCTTTTCTGGCTGTCCCCATGTCATCTCCGAGTCTTGGTTTGCAGTATCTGTCGCGGGATCCCCGGCTTCAGCGGGGGCAGCTCCTGAAGAGGAGGCGACTCTAGGACTGGCTGCAGGACCATTGAATGTCGGCGTAATTCCGCTTGATTGCGGTAACCCATCAGGGGGAGTTGGATAAACTGCTCCGAGAACAGCTGTCCCGGGTCGACCAAGCGCGGCGGCGGCATGACTACTGGGGTTCCCCGAGGACTGTGCCGCGCTATTGTCTACTTCCATTGGCTGAGCAGCAGACCTGCCAGCCTTGCGCTTCGAAATCTGGTCCTCCCGCTCTGCTGAAGAATGTAGCCACCGGCCTGCACTTCCGAGAGGGTCGTGGCTATCTTCGTGACAATTTAGGTTGTCGCCCATATTGCGGGCTGTCGACGATGTCCCCAGGACCCGCGAGCGAAAGCACAGAGGCGCTGGCCATGATATAGTTACCATGGAGTTCTCCCGGGACCGCCTCCCATCAGCCCTAGGCTCCTGGAGCCTTCTCCGAGGGGCGCTGATGTTGATCCAGGCGCAGCCCTCAAGTATCGATGGGGGTATTCCGCGGATCTGGAGAATCTTTAGGCATGCTCGCCTCCACGATACCTCATTTGTATCGGGGATTCCTCTGAAACTTAAGGCTTGTGTGTTTGGGGTTTGGGCCAAGCTCGCCGTACCCATATCTCCATAATGAGTTGGTGGATGGATCGCCTGGATGCCAAACGGAGCTGCCAAGATCCCTTGCCCTGGAGGGGTGAAGCCTGCAACGAACATGTCATCCAGTGGCAGCAAGCCTCTGCACTGGGAGAATTTGAGGGAGATGACGAGGAAGCCCATTGTTGTCAAGTAGGCTTCAAAGGTTGCCAAAGATAAATGCTGATCGTCGAAGTCATCCGGCCCAGATGCCTGCCGCCATTGGTGGTCTGGAGGAAGGAGTATGGTTCGGTAATTGAGGGGTATAGCGCCCATTGCCGGGCAAAATGCCGCCGATAGCGTGAGCAAGACTGCAGCTATGAAATTTTCGTAGGCGTACTTATTGAGTAGCTGTGAAACCTTTGAATCGTTTGCCGGTAGGCTGGTAGACGCATTGTCGTTGTGGTCCGTCTGGGAGCTCTGGGGGGACGCATTCGACAGCTGTCCGTGTGCTTGATCGCTACCGGGCATGCCACTAGCCGAAGGAGAAGCAGATGCATGATTGACGGCGGGTACCTGGGAGCGGCCTTTTGGGAGAGCGGAAGGCTCGAATGCACCTTCGTCTGACGATACTAGGCGATACCCAGACACGTTGAGCAATGACTCTAGACCAGTGACAGGTCCCTCGGGCGCCGCGTTCTTTTCTCGTATGCGGAAGTGCCATATTCCTCGGCGGCTCGCATCATAGAATACCAGATGCCCATCGTCGCGTAAAACCTTCTCAATCTCGACTGCTGCAGAGGCAAAGGTATAAGACTGTTCTGCGGGTGGTTCGTATAATCGAAACGCTACTGACGAGATATTGCTCTAAGAAGCAGGGAAGGAACCGTTAACATTGGAAGGTAAGAGCCGGCCGGTATATGATAGAGACAAGGAACTTACAATCAGAAGTGTATTAGTCTCATATTCACCAAGCTCCATCGCGACGCCGGGTCATCTGCGCGTGCGGCGCTCTCCAGATATATAAGGTGTATTGTATATCGATCTACTGCAGGGGGCATCAGCCCAGAAACGGGGATACTCTGGCCAAGAACGATGTAACGTCCCCGCAAGGAGGCGCCTTGGCTGGCCTGCTAAAGGCGACTCAAAATGTTGTTCAATGTACTGCTGTCGGTAATATTTGTTGTTGTCGAGGGTGTCTGGCTGGGCGCCATCTCCACCGGCCGATCGGTCCGCAACGCCGCTGTATTGCAAGAAGAGAGCCAGTCGCCCTTGTTCTCCTCGTGGCCCGAGGTTAAGAAACCGTCGAGCGCGCAGATATAAATTCCAGATTATAAAGTCGATTGGGTGTAGACTGGCTAGTGATGGCGCAAGGGAAAAAGGGCGAGCGCAGTTGGCAGAGGAGGAGGGGGCGATGGGAGGGACTGGGACAATGCGCGCGAACGAAGTGATAGGCGTCGTGAACGTGAAAAAGCGAATCCGTCTTCGTTTATACAGTATGATGAAGTGTTAGCAATGTCCCACATATGAGACAATGCTGGCAAGCCGGGTGCAAGCCAGTTTATGGTGGTCAAAGAGTCGAGATGAGGTCAAGGGAGCACGCGATGTCAGGAAGCGGGAGGCAAGAGCCACAGGTGGTCAGCCGCTGCTCTATTGGGATGGACAGGTCCATTATGGAATATGCCCGTGGATGGACAGCTTGGGATCAACGGGGCCACAACTGCCCACATTCACTGTTCAGCACTCCGCGCGCTAGAGTTACAGTGGCCATGGGCCCTAGGGCGACTGTCTATAGGCTATAATCATATGTATGTCGCGTTATGGTGGGACTGGCAATAGGATATATTCATGGTCTGTATGTATTGTATGTATATATATATGTAGTTCCTTTTATAAGGATATAACTATAGAACGGGAGCTTCTAGGCTGTTACACCTATAGCTATTCTTATATAGAGAAGAGTTCAGGTATTTATACCATGCATATCCCTATCCAACTTTGTGACTTATTAACTTGACAATGTAACCTACAGGCTACCGCCCACTCGACTACAGTGGAGTGGCTGGTGGATCGGGCGGTGGAACGGGATCCTCTTTTTTTTTTTTTTTTTACCGGGCATTAGAAAAAAAGTTACACCCATCGTGTAGGACCCCAATATCGTCTATTTCTTCCTCCCAATACCCATACTCTTCTCAGGTCCTTTCTGTGAACACCAGTCAACTAAACACGGTCGACATAGAAAATAGCCCATCATGAAGCTCTCAAATCCAGGGAACGTCCCTGTGTACACAGTCTCTGGCGCATCGACAGCCCGCCCGCTCCCAGACTGGCTTGCTAGGCGGCGCAAGCGCAGTCTGAAGGACGACCCTGAATACCAAAACCGAGTCGAGCTTCTGCAGGACTTCGAGTTCGAGGAGGCCAGCAACTGTATTCGCATCAGTGAGGATGGCGATTGGGTCGTGAGCACCGGCACCTACAAGCCGCAGATGCACGTTCACAACCTGCCTCAGCTCTCTCTATCCTTTGCCCGACACACAAACGCCCTGAACCACACCTTCGTCCTCCTCTCACAAGACTACTCCAAATCTCTCCACCTGCAGATTGACCGCAGTCTCGAGTTCCACACACCTATGGGCTGCCATCACAGAGTCCGCCTCCCGCGATACGGCCGAGATCTTATCTACGACCGCCACTCTACCGAGGCCCTCGTCCCCGCCGTTGGACTCGACGCCGATGGAAAGGGTGAGGTATTCCGTATGAACCTTGAGCTGGGACGCTTCATGCGCTCCTACCAAGTTGACGTTGGTGGTGACGACGAGCTCACTGGCGGTGGTCTGCAGGGCGGTATCGGCGTCGGCTGTGTCAACACGGCAGCCATTGCCGAACAGTCTCACAACCTCCAGGCCTTTGGTACATCTATCGGCACCGTAGAGTTCTGGGATCCCCGCTCAAAGTCGAGGGTTGCTGTCTTGGCGGGCCACGACGGCGAGGTCACGGCACTGGATTTCAGCCCGACCGGACTGTCGCTGGTAACCGGCTCGTCCACGGGCATGGTGCAGATATTCGACCTGCGAAGACCGGTTCCCTTGTTGAGGAAAGATCACGGCTACGGCTTCCCCGTCAAGAAGCTGATCCACATGACGACAGCATCGCAGGAGAAGAAGATCCTGTCCGCAGACAAACGAATCATCAAGGTCTGGGACGAGGCCGATGGCGAGCCTTGGACGTCGGTTGAGCCCGTTGTGGACCTCAATGATGTGACATGGTGCAAGGACTCGGGTATGATCCTGACGGCCAATGAGGGCAAGCAGCAGCACGCCTTCTTTGTACCGCAGCTGGGACCGGCCCCCAGGTGGTGCTCGTTCCTCGACAACCTTGTCGAAGAGATGGCCGAGGAAACGCGCACTGAGACATACGACAACTACAAGTTCCTCACGGTGCCCGAACTCAAGCAGCTCAGCTTGGCCCACCTGGTGGGCAAGACTAGCCTGCTGCGCCCGTACATGCACGGTTACTTTGTCGCCTCCAAGCTTTATGACCAGGCTAGGCTCATAGCCAACCCCTACCTATGGGAGGAGGAGAGGACCAAGCGCGTCAAGGAAAAAGTCGACAAGGAGCGCGCCAGCAGGATCAGGGGCTCCAAGAAGGTCAAGGTCAACCAAAAGGTCGTGGACAAGGTGCTCAAGAAGCAGGAGAACAGGGGCACCGTCGACGAAAAGGCTGGCATCCTGGGCGACGATCGTTTCAAGTCCATGTTCGAGGACGAGGAGTTCCAGGTCGACGAGAACAGCCGCGAGTTCCTCGCCCTCAACCCCAGCACCACTATCGACAAGTCTTCCATCCCCGAGCCAAGTGGCCCCTCTCGCTACCAGGCGCAGGACTCCGAGGACGAGTCCAGTTCGAGCGAGGACGAGATCACCGGGCAGCCCAAGGTCCGCGACGACGACGCCGTTGTCATGCGCGTGTCGTCGGCGAGAGACGGTGGCCGCCCCGCCAAGGACACGGCCCTGGGATCCCGACAGCAAAAGCCGGGTCGCGATCGGTCGCAGCGTCGCGAGATTGTCGGCGACCAGCAAGTCACCTTCACGCCCAGCTCAAGGAAGAAGAACCAGCAGCAGGAGACACAAGAGTCCAAGCCAGTACAAAAGTCAAGGGCAAACCGCCGAAGTGCCAGCTCCAATACGTTCAGGCGAATGTAGTCGAAAAGCAAGGAACAATTTTTTCTTAAAAAGAAGAAAAAAAGAAAAAAGGCTAGGAATACTAAGTACATGTTTCCTGCTCAGGCCATCCTTCCCAACGCCGTCAACAAAGTCATCAAAACATGAGAACAGACCAACCGTTTCAGACTCACTATATCCATGCACGGCAACTCAGAGGGCCCATCGCACGGTACCACTCTTCCCAATCACCTCGCCCTACATGCGCCCTTTGACCCTGTCAACCAATGTCCTGGGCTTCTTCTCGAGAAACTCTGGGCGAATCTTTGGAGTTGGCGGTACGTCATCAGGGATCCTCTTGTGAGAGCGACTCGCACCGACGAGCTCGGGATCCTTGACTGAAGAAGGGAACTCGGAGCGTCGTGGGGTGAGTGCCGTCTTGACCTTGCGGGCAGACCTTCTCAGCGTCTCCCTCATGGTCCATTCACGCTTCTTGGCTATGAAGAACAGGGTACCCATGGTGACTGTTATGGCAGAAAAGTGTCAGTTTTGTATATTTGATGCCATGGCATCGAAGTTTTGTACGGGTGGGGGCGTTCACTCACTTCCTAGTGCCGCCACGACGAGGACAACGACAATGATAGCGACGAGGCCCCCCGTTGATATGGACACAGAGGTATCTGAGCTTCCTGAAGAACCTCCATCATCACCCGTACCTACACCGGGAGCCTGGGTGGTGCCTGACTCGCCAGAAGAGCCCTCCAAGAAATCATCTCTGGGTATAAACATGGTTGTGTATACCTGTCACGAATCAATGAGGGTCCAGGAGAGTTGTGTATTTGATGAAAATAAAAGCCAAGCTTTCGTGCAATTAGATGAGATGAATAAAGAAAGAGGGTTCAACCAACAAGAAAAAAACTTGCACCCGTCGAGAGTATATATTACAAGTTTTTCTGCAAGTCCATGGGAGGGGGGACTCGAGTACCGCCCTCTCTATAACGTACAAGCTGTTCCACTTGTGTCTCAATAACATTACTACCAGTGCCTAATCATTGGATCATTCCCCTTCCGTAGTGACAAAAGTTACCTCCCTTCGTGTGGTATTAGCTAGACCCTTGTTCTGGTCAATCTATTCTGGGTGGACGGCGACGCTGATGATTGGCGAGTGGTGATCTCGAAGCGCCGGCCCTTGACCTTGATACGCAGGCACACGGCCAATTAGAAACCTGTGCCTCCTTTTTTTCCCACAACCGACATACATCTACTCCGTATTATTCATCTCATAATCACACATGGATGGACTCATGTGCTGTGACGACACGGGCCCCATGTTGGAGTAGGAGCAGTGGTTGGTTTCGTGTGACGAGAAAACGGACGCATATGCAAGCGCTAGGAACGGCATAAACCTCCCCCTTTCACTTTTCACTAAGCGCCCGGACAGTGATGGGTCATGCTGCCAAGCGTTCTAGTGCTGCAAGCTGCATATCAACAGTTGCGAGTGATGGGGTTGAAGGAGGTGAGATAAGAGGTTTGACAGCTGGGGTTTGAGGTTGCTTTCATACGTTAAAGATCAGGTTCCCTATGAAACATGCGTCGGCAATTGATTTGAAATGGCTCGCTAACCAAAAGAGGGCTCTCGCGGTTCCTCAAATCCCTGTTGGTGCAGAGGGATGCACCTTCCTTCATGACGAAGAGAGCAAGTCGCGCTTGCCTTTTTTCAAAACCACGCAGTTCCAAATGCGGCAGTAGCGACCTCATGCTCCTCCGTGACGTTTTACACAAAATGATGGTACAAGAATTCGATTCTTACCAACTGCCACGATCCCACCCTTCCGAGTTCCGAATGCCACCTGACCCCAGAGAGCTGTATGCCGAAGCAAGCATCCCACCGTACGACCTGTATCTGCTTTACCGGGGGCATCTTTAGCCATGGAAGTCTCGTCCCCTGTACGGCTCCAGGCGGCCTCCCCGGGAAGTGGAAGGTCCATATCTTCCAACGGTCTTGTTAACCAGAAAAATGCCGGCAATGTGTTGCCAGTCCTTCGTATGGAAGAGAATCCAGAGCCCGGCATCCCAAGCGAGATCTTCAAGAAATTCAGTGCTCCTAACCATGTCATATCTGAGCCTGCCATGGCTGAGGGCTTCTGTTGGCAGCCCAAGCAGCCTGCTCGCCCCGGGCAGTTTTCCGAAAGACCCCGCACAAAGACTACGGACGTTCCATTGATCCCTAAAGACGTACCGGCCGAGACACCGTACTCCCACAGGGGCCAAGTTGACGCCAAAGTTCGCCCAAGAGGAATCCAACAAGGGCCTGAACTACAACCGTTGGAGCTTCCCGAGTTCAACTTTGAGCTTCTCAAGGAAAACGGTAACCAATCCCTAAAGAACGGCATCGTGCCTGCTTCGCCTCCAGACTTACAGAAATCCTGGCAGAGCATCGGTAGGGTGCAACTGTCTGGCTGTATGTCAACCAGAGCTCAAAGACCATCTGCACACAATGCTGGAGAAGCCTCAGCTTACTTCCATAAAAAAGACTCTATTCTACAAGACTCTCTTAAGGAGGATTATACAAGTCACCATATTCCCAACATCTCTGTAGGAAACTCCTCAACTATTGGAGCGACTGGGCCTCATACCAAGAACGGCGTCACTCCCTCAACAAGTCCAAATGTCTCGAGACAGAAACACCACAAGGCATCACCGCTTGGTAAACGAAGAAGTCCCGGTCATTCAAGAACCACGGCTGTTTTATCACGTGGCGTTGACGGCCGTCGCGGCTCTCCAGATACGAGTGTTTGTGGCGACTTGGAAGGGCCTTCTCTCTATCAATTCACTCATTACTGCTCTCCTAGAGCCAGTCTGGTACCTTCTGTCGTATCTTCATTTGATCCTAACTCACACCAGAAACGAGCACAGCGTCTTCCACAACGACCACAATCTCGGAACAGCAATATTTCGAGGAAAAGAAGATTTGTCCAAAAGCCGCATTCGCGAGCAGAATCTGAACGTAAGAGGATGTTGATGGAGAGCGTCGCACGTCACTGGAATGAGTGCCTGGAGATTGCCGAGACTGAGAGGCAGAACGCTCTTGATGAGATCTGCTATCTCAAGGAGAAAATCAACAGCAAGTCCAGAGATCTGAACGAAGCCGAGACTATTCTTTCCCGGCAGAAGGCTCAGATAGAGGAGATGGAAAGCCGCTGTCAAAGCACCGAACGCCAACAGTCAGATATCTCCCAGAGAAATGAGACCCTGACCACCGAGATCAAAACTTTGCGAAAGGAGCTTTCCGAGTCCAAGGAAAGGGAGGCTCGTCTTGGTGAGAAGTACAGGACGTGCAAGGACAAAATCAATGAGGCGATCGGGGAACAACAAGACCTATACAAACGCTCGAGGTCTTACTACGAGAACCTACTGCATGAGCTGGAAAGAGAGAAAAACAGGTGCGAGATTCAAGCAGGTCAAGTTGATGAAGCACTTAGGACAAGCCTTCGTAAGCGGAAGGTGATGAAAAGGGTCTTTGAAGACTTCCAGACGAAAATGCGGGACGAGTCGCGGAAGAGTAAGTCCCGGTGTTGTCGCCTTGTTCATCCGTCGCCAGCTGACGGTAATTACAGAGGACGATATCATCTCAACTTTGCGGACCAAGCTTCAGGACCAAGCAGAGAGTCTTGCACGGGAGAGATCCACTGCTGATGAGCTGAAAATGCATCTCAACAATGCCCAATCCAAGTCGCACCAGAGCCTACAAGATCTATGTGCTAAAGTTGACGCTGTAGACAGAGTTTCAAACGAAACCAACGCTGAAGTCGAGAGGAACTCCCAAGAGACAATGTGTCTGACAGACAGGTAGTTTTGGACACTCTAGCCTCGCAGTGCCTAATATGACTAACTCATAGCCCTCCCTCTCCCTTTTTAGGATTGAGCGGATCGAGAGCTGTGTCAACTCATTCTCTGCGTCGGCACCAAATCCCATCGACATAGGGTCAATCATGAGAACTCTGGAGGAAAATATTGCCCGCCGGTCAGCACCTGGCCTAAGATGCCTGTTTTCCTACGATGAGTCTGACACAAATGAATAGCATCTCACCATCATTGAACAAAATGGCTACTTGCCAAGAGAGCCTCGAGCAAGTCATCTCCAGGGTTGGCAGTGCATTTGAGGATGGTCTCATTGGTGTAAACAAGACCATCGAGTGGCAGCTTGACAAAAAGTTCGAAGAAGGCAGGAAAGGCGAAGATGGGCCCAAAGAAGTCACGGAGTCCCTCAGCCGACTTCACGCTGAAATGAGAGGGACCCGGGACTTATGTGAGAACTTACGCTCCCAGTTCAGTGAATGGAACCAAGCCGAAGCTGAAGCTCTCCGCACTACTTATATCTCCAGGCAGGAGGAACTTGCCCAAAAACTGGAGCAACGAGGCAACACTTTGGAAGGACGTGAATTAAACCTCCAAGGGTTGATAAGCACGTTCACCTCCAAGATGTCCCAAGTCTGGGGGAAAATCAAGGGCAACAAGAATGATGCAAAAGATGCTCTGCAGGAGACGATCTACCAGGTGCAGGAAAGATTTGAGGCCTCACTTCTCAGAGAAAGAGCTTGGTCGGCCCAGAAGCTCGTGCAGATGGAAGCTGCAGTTCTTGAGTTGAGAGATCATGTCAGAAACCTCACACAAATAGAGCGAGGCAGCACTGAGACTCCGGCGCAGCAGAACGTTGAAAAGTTACATTTGATGCTCCAGGAAGAAAGGGGGACGGTGGCACGCCTCACCGAAAACATCCACAGCCTTGAAAAGGAAGCCAAGCTTATGACGGGACTACGGGAGAGGTGGACCCGCGATCTCTGGCTGATCGATTCCCTGAGGTCCCAGTTGTCCGCTATCCGCCATCGAATGCCGCAGGTTGAAAGTATGGCAGCAAAGCTAGACAGCATCAGCCTACTGAACTCATTCATTCATTCAACAGCAAGCTATCTTTCCAACGAAAAGAAGTGGATCCAAGGGGAGCTCACCACCCGAGATAACGGTAGCAGCTCAGCCGGGAGTTCCCAGCTCAGAGCGGTTCATGAGCAAACACGCTCAACGGATAGTAAAGGCCCAGCCACGGAGGGCTCCATTCCCGGGGTAAATACGGGCTGCAGCGTGGCAGCAGGCCCTCATGGAATCTCAACTCGTCGGGTCACGGTATGTTGCCCTACGCTGGAACTGGATCCACCGTCTCCCCCATTGTCGGTTGAGCAGGAGCAGATAAAACGTCGCGAAGCAGCCAAGCCCCGGCCGATACTGAGATTCACTGCGAAGCCCTCACAGAGCCCTAAAGTCTCAGGTCCTGCAGCAGAGGAACTTGGGGCCTCTTTCAGCTACAGCCAGTACAATCGACCGGTGATGGTGAGGAGTGCCCAGACAGGGGAAGACGCGCGGTCTGGGAGGAAGCGTAATCCGTCCGTCTCGATGGATGACATCCACCGGATCGGGAAACGATTCAAGCCAGAACCGCCAGAGAACGTCCCGGGGGACCTGACGACACCATCGATTAAGACTTCAGAGACGGCCCGCGGAAAGCATGTTGACGGCATTCGAGGGCCTCGCCGCATTGTCCATACCTACTCTCGCAATCTAGCTGAATAATGGTCGTGATGTCTCGGAATTGCTTGAAGTTGCTCGAGCGTACAAGGCGCTTTTCTTGGAGGCTGTCGAATTATAAGAGTGAACGGTAGTACATGTCAAGCAGATGATGTGGCGATAGAGCATGCGTGGGGCAGTAAAGCGGTGGGGGGGGATTGCGGGATGTATTATCACGACATATTGCCGGCGTTCGAGCGGAAGGGATTATGCATGGAAAGGAATTCAAAGGTGGCTAGAGAAGAGTTGCACAGAAGGTGAGCGTAGAGACTGAGGAATTATCCCGAATGAATGCATTCATAAATATTATTAGGTGGTGTACAGATGTATAGGTACAGGCGCGAGTGTTGGGCGCGACGGTAGTAGACCCTTTTGATGGCAGACTCCCGAGATATTGCGTGCGTGTTGTATAGTGTTACAAGTGCCTTCTCCGAATCCTTCGAGGTCGATGCATGGGTGGACCGTGCACTTTGCGGGCGTGATTCGATATCGGTGTCGCAGGCGGGCGAGTTGCCGCAAGGGAAAAAAAGAGAGGTATCGTGATGCGGAAATAGGTGAAAGATGGCGGAGAGGGATCACCGAACTCTCCTTTTCGATTCGAGAAAAAGGACCTTTTTGCGTACTATCAAAATGTCAGTCGCCACGGCCTTTTTTTTTCCCCCTTCGCCTCCAACTTCTACTTGATTTTTCCGTCTCCGATGATGGGCTCGCGTCGGTGAAGAAGATGAAGAAGCAAAGAAAGGGTTGGAGGTTGGAGGTCGAATTTACCGATGGGGTCGTATTTGAGCATGCCCATAGGATTGGCGGTACGGGGACGCTTGAAGTTGTAGAAGAAGCCCGTCATGGCCATGGAGATGAGACGGACGTTTATGATGCGCGACTTCTTCTTAGCCATTATGACGGTTGGTTCTTGTTGGAGTCGTCAACGCACGAAACGGATTGTGACAGTTACTCCGGGTCGTCAAAATTGAAGCTTGGGAGACGGACAGAAAGGACAGGCAGAGAAGCCGGAAGAAGAGAAATTCCGAACTAAGGATGCTCCGGCGTGTACTCGTACTCGCATACTATGTATGAGTATGTAATCTGTACGTATATATATAACGTGTATTATGTACATAATATATCCGTGCATAATAGTATGAGCCGAAGAAAGGTACGTACCCTCATCCCTCGCAAACCAATTGGAAAGGAAGGGAGGACCCTATCCTGACCGCTCACTCACCGAATCGACTCCAACTCCCTCTGCTGCAAGATCTCTCACATGTACATCTCACATGGGGCATATGTGCTTTCTTTCGACACGCCAAGTCTTTTTCTCATTTTGTCCCTATTTTCTTTCTGTGACTAAGATGGAGTAATAGAATGTAGTCAACTGCCGATCCACCTTTGTGGGTAATGGTGCGATGAACTACTTACTAGCACTTCACAGAGAGAGGGAGAGGGAGAAAGAAAAAGAAAAAAAAAGAGGGAAAGAAAAAAGGCCGAGATATCAAATGTACCAGTCGTACGAGTGCACACAACCACGATGCATGCGAGCACCACTTCCCGGGGATACTTTATCAGTATTACGCCGTGCTATCAGCCCGCTGTCTTACTGTCTTACCACTCGTACAGGCTATATAGATGGTAATATTATCTGTATCCCAACTTCCAAGCATAGCTAGCCAAGCAGGGGTCTCAGATTGCGCACCGCCTGCCCGGTCCTTCTTCACTCTCACTCTCACTCACTCACTCTCTCTCTCTCTCGTGTGCTACTAATTTAAAGAGAAGCTGGAAAAAACCCTTCCTTCCCCTTCTCCCCCCCCCCCCCCCCCCCCCCTCTCCCCTCCCCTCCTTCTTTATAGCCATGAGTACCGCTCTGGTTCACCCTTTCTATCCAACCCTCTTCTCTCTCCTCTTTCTCTGGATGACTGACATACAATAAACGGCAACTCGGGTGATTAAGAACAAGAGAGAGAGAGAGAGAGAGAGAGAGAGAGAGGTTGTGGGATTTGACCACGAAGCTCCACCATCACCACCATGGCCCTTCGGAGTCTTATCCGCGCTGTCGGGCAGAATTCTGTCACGGGGGGCAGTCATTCACTGTCGCGACCTGTTCTTCTTCACGGTATGTGGGATCATTTGTTACTACCTCTTCCGTTGTCCAACTCCAGAGATTGAAGCCAAAGAAAAAAAACGACAATGGCATGTCATCATTACTACGCGTCGGATCGCATCCGGCCGGCGTCTTTTTGGCTCCGGTGTCGGATAGCGTGCATCATCGAAAGCTATTGGAGTCAGACCGGCGCAAGTGCACCGTCATTTTACCAAGTCCTGATATCAAACCGCCCCTGGTTCTGGATCTCGACAGTGACAAGAGAAAAAGGCTAAACGGGATCTGGTGGTTTTTTTTCTTATAAAAAGAGCAAGAAAAAAAACGTATTACACACCTCAAAACTTGTGATTCCCATGCCCAAAAAGAGGAACATTGCGAACCGAGTTACGAAACCTGAGAAAACCCCTCTTCCTTCTTTCTCATCTCTCGCACCCCGCGTAGCGTTTTTTTTTTCTTTTTGGTGGCACTAAGGCGGGGTGTTGACGGACCAAAAAAAAAAACACATCACAAGGCCTCTTTCTTTGACTCCCCCCCCCCCCCCCCCCCCCCCCTCCCTCTCCCCTTCCCCTCCCCCTCCTCTCCTCCCGCATCCCCTCTGTCCCTCCCCCCCCCCTCCTTTCTACCCTCTATCCTTCCACTTACTTCTGCCCGGGTACGAGTCAAGAAGCTGGTCTCTTCCTTGTGCGTTTTGTCTCCTTTGTTTGTTTGCCTCTGTTAAAGAGAGGGGGTCGCAAATGCATATATATACATATATGTACATATATATCACATTTGGAGACATTCAAGACAACTAACCATCCATCTGGGTTCAATTAGGTCAACCCCGCTACGTCGTGCCGAGAAACACCCGGCAAGCTTCCAAGATGCGTCTCACAATCGACAACATCAACCCCAACATCCGGGAGGCCAAGTATGCCGTCCGCGGTGAGCTTGCGGTCAAGTCTGAGGAGCTCAAGGCCCGCCTGGCCAAGGGCGACAAGTCCCTCCCCTTTGACGAGGTCATCAACGCCAACATCGGCAACCCGCAGCAGCTGGACCAGAAGCCCATCACCTTCTTCCGCCAAGTCCTCAGCCTGGTCGAGAACCCACAGCTGCTCGAGAAGGAATCGGTCCTGATCGATGCCCTAGGCTACAAGTCCGACGTCATCGAGCGCGCCAGGTGGCTCCTCAAGAGCGTCGGTTCCGTCGGCGCCTACAGCGCTAGCAACGGTGCTCCTGCTATCAAGGAGAGCATTGCCAAGTTTCTCGAGAGTATGTCCTGTCTTTTCTCTTTCTTGTTTATCCCATCTTGTCATTCTTCTCCGATACATGAGTCAATTCTTCTACGTCATCTTTTTTTCTCTTGGGACGGGGGGTTTTTTTTTTTTTTGTTGCTCACAAAAAAATCTGGTTACAGGACGCGATGGCTTCCCCGCCAACCCCGCCAACATCTACCTATCGGGCGGTGCGTCTTCCGGAGTCAACACGCTTCTCAACACCATCTGCGCCTCGCCCAAGACGGGCATCTTGATCCCGATCCCCCAGTACCCGCTGTACACGGCGACTCTGTCGGTCCTCAACGCCACGTGCGTCCCGTACCACCTGGACGAATCCAACAGCTGGCGGACGGACCTGGAGACGATCCGGGCGTCGTGCGACAAGGCCAAGGCCGAAGGAATCGACGTGCGGTGCATCGTCATCATCAACCCGGGAAACCCGACGGGCGCGTCCCTCCCGGACGAGGAGATCCGGGCCCTGCTCGACTTCGCGCGCGAGGAGAACCTGGTGGTCATGGCCGACGAGGTCTACCAGACCAACGTCTTCGTCGGCAAGTTCCACAGCTTCAAGAGCATCCTGCGCAGCATGCAGCAGGAGAGCCCGGGCGTCTACGACCACATCGAGCTCGCGTCGCTGCACAGCGTGTCCAAGGGCATGGTGGGCGAGTGCGGCCACCGCGGTGGCTACTTCGAGCTTGTCGGCTTCGACCCCGAGGTCGAGGCCAACATCTACAAGTTCGTATCCATCATGCTGTGCGCCCCCGTCATCGGCCAGTGCCTGGTCGAGCTCATGGTCAACCCCCCGCGCGAGGGTGACCCATCCTACCCCCTCTACCGCCGCGAGTACGACTCCATCTTCGACAGCCTCCGACAGCGCGCCACCGCCCTCCACTCCGCCTTCTCCCAGATGGAGGGCGTCGAGTGCGCCGAGCCCCAGGGCTCCATGTACCTCTTCCCCACCATCAACCTCCCCAAGGGCGCCGTCGCCGCCGCCGAGAGCGAGGGCCGCCACCCCGACGAATTCTACTGCATGCGCCTCCTCGAGGCCACCGGCATCTGCGTCGTGCCCGGCTCCGGCTTCGGCCAGAAGCACGACTCTCTCCACTTCCGAACCACCTTCCTCGCCCCCGGTACCGAGTGGACGAACCGCATCGTCAAGTTCCACAAGGAGTTCATGGACAAGTATAGGTAGACACTTGTACTTTCAAGCCGGCCATGGCCACGTTGACGACTAGAACTGGTAACAGCTGTCTTCTTCTCCCTTCCTCTTTCCCTCTCTCTTTTCTTTCAAGCAAAGTGATGGGAGGAGGAGGAGACGGCATTAGGGGATATATTCTCAACGTAGGTTCCCAATACCAAAGGGGAACCAAAACAAAACCAAAAGAAAATAAAAAATATACATATGAAGATATCATGACTGCTACAACCAAGGCAGATGATGAGTATTCATAGAAAAGCAAGCGTGATTCCCACTTTGTACAACTTTTTTTTTTCTAAAGAAAAAAAAATGTCATTTTATTTTCGCATCATACAGACGTAGGTAATGACGCATGAATTTTTTATTCTCCTCTCATCTTTGGACCTCTAATAAAATCATCTGCTCCTCTGACCATGATTTATGCCCTCTCGCTACCCCTCAGCCGCACGGCCTGACCGTACTTCTGCAGCTTGGTGATGAGCTGGTCACCCTGCCTGACAACGTCCTGGTACTGCTTGTTCTTGTCGTCGGGGCGGTTCGTCTCGATGACGCCCTTGCCGGTGACGCGATCAATGGTGCAGGGGATACGTCCGGCGGCGATGAACTTGGCGAGGTCGCTGTTCGAACTCGTTAGTTTATGATGTTTCTTTTTTTTCCGAATGGGGAAGGAGGCCGGGGGGGGGGGGGGGTTGGGGAGGGTTGAGTTAACGAGGAATAGGAGGGAGAGGAAAGAAGAGGGAAAGAAGGAGAAGAGAAAACACACCGGTCGNGGGGAGGGTTGAGTTAACGAGGAATAGGAGGGAGAGGAAAGAAGAGGGAAAGAAGGAGAAGAGAAAACACACCGGTCGAGAAAGTCGACTGTGACACCGAAATCACTGGCCATGCTGTCGAGGCCGACGACGCGGTAGCTTTGGAGAAGCTGCTGGTAGGCGCAGAGGCGCATCTCACGGATGAACCAGTTCTTATGCTCGGAGAGGTAGCGGTCCTGGGTGAGGAACTGCTCCTCGACCTGGGCGAGGGACTGGAAGAAGGTCTTGTAGTTGCCGTTGTAGAGGCTGGTGACGAGCAGGGCGAGAGGGCTGAAGTCGATGGCCAGCTCGGCCTCGGGCTTGTCGGTGTTGGAGGAGCCGAGCGTCGTCAGGTTGACGGCCGTGGTGGTGGCCGTCTTCTTGCCGCCGCTGGAGGCCGTGCTGGCGCCACCGGGTGCGTCCGCTCCCGGTCCGGCGCTGAGGGCGCCGCTGAGGGCCAGGAGCTTGTCCTCGCCGTCGCCGAGGATGGCCTTGATCTCGGGGGCGTCGACCACCTTGGACTTGAAGTCGACGCGCTTGAGAGAGACGGAGCCGGCCAGGACCGAGTAGACGACCAGGCTGGAGTAGGTGCAGAGCTCGTAGCTGGTAAAGGTTGAGAGGGAGTCGAGCAGGAGCGGCGCGGCCAGGTTGTACGACCGCACCGTCAGCAGGTGCAGCCCCTCGTAGGCCTTGAGGCGGTTGCGGCGGTCCCAGTCGCCGCCGCTCTCGACAAGGGCCTTGGCTCGCTCGACGTTCTTCTTGACAAGGGGCTTGTCGCCGTAAAAGAGCCCGATACGTATTATGGCCAGGACGAGGTCGATCTTGGTGCCGAGGATGCCTGTCTTTTCAAAGACGGCCTCGCAGGTGGCAATTGCCTTGTCCTATTTTTTTTTTTTCAAGCGGTGCGGTCTGTCAGAGAAGAAACAAAACGGAGCTCTTGCTCATCAAGGTTTGAAAATATCGGGGAGGGGGGTTTGGAGGAGACGAATGAAAAAGAGATGGATCAGCCTTACCTTGTCGCCCACTCTGGCCAAAAGCTCTGCCCGCTTTCCCTTGGCGGCTATAACCTCTGTGTCACCGGCCTGTTCGACGGCCTCGTCCTCCTCCTTCTGGAGGGCCTCGAGCTCCTTCTCATTCTCCTCCGTCAGCCTGTTGTAGAGGGCCTCGTCCCAGGGGAGGCTGACGCCCGAGGCCGACGTCTTGGTGGCGACCATGCCGACCAGGCTTGATTTCCTGCCAAGGGGCTTGCCCGGGACGGCGCCGCCATCGCCGATGCCGTTGAGCACGCCGTCGACGGGGTGCGCCAGGTAGCGGTAGAAGGGGGCCATCTTGTCCTCCAGGATGGCATCCTGCAGGGCCTTGACGGCGGCCTGCTGGGACGACTTGCTGGCATAGCTGTTGGTCAGGGTGAAGACGTGCTGCGACAGCGGCAACAAGGGCCACTTGGCGTACTGCGGATCAGACCCCATGGCTGCGGCTGTCCCGTGGCGGGTTGTGCTTTGTTGGGGGTTGGGGAAGGTTGGATTTTTTTGGCTTTCTGGGAGACGTCGGTCGACTTGATTTCGCTGCCGGAGGTGCGTTGATTTTGAACGACTGGGGGGGGGGGGG